AGCTACGACGGGATATATATATATATATATATATATATATATATATATGTATTGGCAGCTTCCGGCCACCAGGGGGGGCCTCGCCGGGCCACAGGACGTGGAAAAGATACTCGGGATGAGCTCCGGGCCCGGGGACAGGGTCTCGGGGCTTCGGGGGGGGGGGGGCCTCTATTGAAAAGGTCAAGACGCCGCACGTCTGGGTGTAGCGGCCCGTCGTGCCCCCCTCAACGGGGCCGAGCTGCCCGCCTCCGTCGACAGATCTGGCCAGCACCACGTCCTGGCCACCAGGCGGAGGCAGACGCCCACACGCGACTTTGGCATCGGAGAGGCACTCTGTGGGCACGGCCTTCCCCCCTGCAGATGCCACTCGACGGCCCACACCCACAGCTGCGCAATCCTCCTCCGCTGCCGCCGCTGCGGGCGCCGCCCTTGCCCCCTGCTCGCGCTCTCGCTGCCGCCGCCCCCCCCCCCCCCGCCAGGCATGTGGTCACGAGGCGCCTGCGCCTGCCCTCCCGCCCGAGCGATGCAAGGGGAGGTGCAGGCGTGAGTGCGCGTATGCGACGAATACGAGAGAATCATGGGAGAGAGAGAGAGAGAGAGAGACACAACAAGAAACGATGTATCGGAGGTTGGGGGTTGAGATCGACACGGAACGGAGCGCCCCCCTACGGGGAAATCGGGTTCGGGTTCGGGTTCGCGTCGTGCGTGCGGGCGAGGGGATGCTGCGTGGGCGGGCGAGAGGAATGATCCCGCCGTGGCTAGGGCGGGGCAAGACAAAAGACCTCCCGTCTGGTGGGCCGGCGTGGACAGGGGTGTCCCGCCATGGCGTCCTGTCCTGTAGGCGTCCCGTTGGTGTCCCGCCGTGGGTGTCCCGTTGGTGCCCTGTCGGTGACACCTCGGTGTCCTGATTGGTGCCCTTGTGGTGTCCTGGGGGTTCTTCGATGGTGCCCTCGATGGTGTGTTTCCGATGGCGTTTCCATGGTCTGATTGTGGCCCGATTGTGTCCAGAGGGTTTCTTAGAATACCCATAATGAGACGTGCGGGATGGGTTCGAAGCGAACCAGACACTGCGACCACCCATCGCAGTGAAGCCGACTGCCATCAATAGCAGCTGGCACCAGCACCGCCACTGTCACCGCAGCTGTTTGGCTCAAGCAAGGGTTTCGGACGACACGCACCTCCCCGTTGCAATGTCGGCGGGCCTCGCGCGTCTCTTCGCCAGCGCTCTCCCTCCGCCAAGCTCTGCCAGCGACCCGCCGCCCTCCATCGGTGTTTTTCTTCCGGTTGGTCCAGCGCATCGATTACAGGGGATCGCGCAGAGAGGCCCAGCGCTTCGAATACTCAGCGGACTCCAAAGCGGGCTTCGTGGAGCTTGCTCCGGACCGCACCCTGTTGGGCGATCAGCTCTACGAGGCTTTGGGCGGGGCGCCCAAGGTGAAACGCATGGCTTGGCAGCAAGACAAAAGCTCCCAGGGCAACGCGGGCAACCGCTTCACGCAGCCGAATGTCGGCGCACAGGAACCAGACACCAACACCAAGAAACCACTAGAAAAGAAAACATTGCAGCCTCTGTTGAATGCCGTCGCCCGTGTCTTCGGGTTCGCGTGTCCAGAGTTGATGAATGCCAGCTCTGGGCGCGTGGGAACATAACGGGCCGGCTCCAGTTCCCCAAGTGAGCGTTAGGATTTCCATGGGCCGCGCGAGTCCCGCGGGCCGTGCGAACCCAGCCAGCCCCATGAACCCCACAAGTTCCACAAAGGGCTTCATGGGCCGAACGTGCGCCGCAGCGCGCATAAGCCCAACGCGCCGCGCTGGCCCAGCATGCCGCGCGGGCACCATTGGCTCCCTGACTCGTCAGGGCCACATCTGGTTTCTGAGCCTTGGAAACCCCGCGGGCCATGGGAGCCCCGTGGGCCTCAGGGGCGCCATGAGCTGCATGGGGCGTTTCCCTATCATGGAAGCACCGTGGCTTTCAAAGTCGGAGAGCAACGCGAGCCATCTCAAGCTTTCTTAGCTTCGTTGGATCGCTCAGCCCCCACAGGGAAAGCGCTCCGAACTTTTCCAGTGGCGTCTTGGTGCTGGTGCCGGCTTTTTGTTCCCTGCAACATTAAAAAACCGACACCAGCACCAAGACCCCCACTGGAACGGCGGCCCCATGTGCGAGCTGAACCCCTCGACGATTTCGGAAGGTTGCCACGGGCTGCGGGCTTGGGTCAAGAGGGGGCCACGGTCTTATGCCCAGGCCGCGACGGGCGGCCACCGCCCCCTTTCGCAGAGAGCGGCGGATTCGAACTCGTCGGGCCTTGGTGTCGGGCCAGACGAGGGTCAGGGATGCGACGCGGGCGGACATAGGGTGGGTGAGGGGTGGGGGGAATGAGAGGGGGGCGGGCGGGCGGGGGTAGGCGTGGTGGAGGGCGGCGGTGGGGGGGGTGAAGCTTCAGCCATGGGGGATGCCGCAGCCTTCCCTCTTCTCTCCCTCTTCTCCCGAGAGCGCCCGCTAGTTTCGCTTCTCGCTTGCACTTGTTATTTCCTGCTTTCCCTCCTGCGTGCTGCGCGACGTCTCCCTTCCCCCGTCCTCCTCGCCCACTCTGCGATTCCTCAGGCCAGGGCGGGCTCGCGCTGGTCCAACACGCAATTCGACATTTCGTGAAACAAATACTTTCTTGGTGCTGGTGTCGGCTTTTTGTTATCCCAGAATGCGCTGGTCCATGTGGCGGGGTACTTGGGCAAACCCTTGGAGTTCGAGCTCACCCGCAACCTGCAGATGGAGGCGATGGCGAACCAGACTTGGGCGGTCACGGCTTGTCTCGTAGACCCGCCGCAGGGCATGGAGGCAGAAGCCTGGCGCATCCTGCTGCACGTCGTTCGCGCATGGGGCTCTTGCCGGGTCACGCACGCCAATGCCGCGCGCGCGCGCTGGCCAGGGCGGGGGCGGAGGTGCCAGAAGACCTGCGGCCTGCACGGCCGCGCGCGGCTCCCCAGGACCACTCTGAAGGCAACCCCCCGAAAGGGAGCCGGCGCACCGCCGCGCCGACCACGGCGATCCCGACGCAGGAGCCAGGCTCTGCCAACTCCGGCCCGGTCCCCCCGTCTCCGTGCCAAGACGCGCCTTCCCTGGTCCAGGCCTCGCCTCCTGCGGCGAAGCCGTCGGCGCCGGCCCGGGCCCGCGCATCGCCTCCGTGCATGGAAGCCGTCGGCGCCGACCCCGGCCCAGGCCTCGCGTCCCGCGGTGAAGCCCCAAGCTTCGGCTCCTGCGGCGAAGCCGTCGCCGAAGCAGGCTGCGGGGCCAGGCATGGCCAGCCCATCGCGGCCACAGATTTTGGCACCGGTCGGGGCGCCATCTTTGCCGCCCTTGGGGGCACTTGCGATCGGGGGTGTCTGCAGGGTTCGCCGCCGGCGGTTCCGTGGGCGCCGCCCCTGAGCAGCCGGTGGTGGAGGTCGACGTTCCGGCGCCGCTCGGGTCGCCAGCTCAGCCGGCTTTCGGGCGAGGCTTTGCCAACCCAGTGAAGGCGGCGGTCGAGCTTGAGGAGGAGACTCCCGCGGAGAAGAGCGACGTCCTTGACTGGAGTGGCATCGAAGACTTTGGCGGCTGCGATGCTGCCAAAGTGGTGTCTGCAGGGTTGGGCACAGGTTCCGCCGAGGGGCCGGGGGCGCAGCGCGAGCGGACGGCGAAGAGGGCCTCGGGTTGGTTCGCGCTCTGCGGCACGCCAGGCGGCGGCGCGTTCTGCCAGATCTCCCTGGGCCGCGCCATGGCGGAGAGCGCGGATGCGGCAGAGGCTCGGGCGACGCAGATGCGCGGGGTCTCGCATGTCCGCTACCGCGCCGTCGACAACCCTGACGACGTCAACGCGATAGCGAAGCCTGCGCGCATGCGAGCCTCCGTGTTCGCCCAGCTACAAGAGAACTAGAGAAACTTGGAAGTGGTGCCTGGCTCGGGCCTCCTGTTCACCGGCCGCGCCGCAGTTCCGAAGCGGGAAGGTGGGCTTGCGCCAGGCCCTTCCAGCACCGCGCGCCTTCCAGTTTCGCCGCAGGCCTTCCTCGAACAGACCAGCGCCGTGCCCCTGCAGGTTACCTTGTTGAAGTCGGGCCCCTCGGACAGTGCCCGAGACGAGCGGCCCGAGCTGCGGCGGCTCTACCAGAAGCTGCTGGTGGAGTTGCCAGACACCGTGCGCTAGAAGCTGTTCCAGAAGAGCCTCGTGACGGACGGCCAGCGCAGCGCTGCGTTGACCCAGTCCTTGGCATCGCTCGGACGTGTGCATTTTTCCTTCGGCGGGGACCATCGAGGAGCATCCTTGATCACGCGGCGAAAAAACACGCACGAAACCGAAACAAGCACAGGGAATAGACGTCCGAGCGATGGCCAGAGTCGCGAATGTGGGCAGAACGCGCGCAAGTTGGAAACTCGTGCTCGAGGCACCAGGCTCTGCCAGTGCCGTTGACTGGGAGAACCCCCAGTGGAGCCGGGCCGTGGGAACCCGAAGGGGGGCCGCAGGCACCGACGAGCACGTCAATCCGCGTCGATGGGTGCTCAGACTAAGGGGCCACATGCGAACCTTACCCCTACCCCCCACGATTTCTGGGGGGGAGGGTGGGGTTCACTTCGCTCGTAAATCCTCCCCACCCTCCCCTCATAAATCGTGGGGGGTAGGGGTAGGGTTCGCATGTAGCCCCCTACGGACATTCCTGAACGCGCACATGAACGCAGTCGCGGCGGCGACCCTTAACAAGCATTGGGAAAGGGACGACCTGCATCGTGCGTGCGCTCTGGGCCGTGCGTCACGCTTGGCGAGCTCTTCTTGACGCTGGGCACGAATTACGCCGACAAGGAGATCCAGGCGTTCTACCGCACTTGCTGGTTGGTCGCGCTCAAGAGGGACAAGTGCGCGAGCAAACCGGCAAGGGGGTCGCCAGGCTCTGCCAACGCACCCGCGCGCCTCGGGGTCACGCGGGGGCCTCTCCAGGAGCATCGGATTCGAGGCGGATATACCAGCGCCGGGAACCTTGCCAAGGCGGGCGCTCTCATGGCCGAGTGCGCGGGCATCAAGACCGCGCCAGCCGCGCTCGGCAGAACACAGGAGCACGGTAGACCCGAGCACGGCCGACCACAGCAGGACCGCAGACCGCAGCAGCATTGCAGACCAGCACGGCAGACCAGCACGGTAGACCAGCATGGCATACCACATGGGAAACACATGAGCACGGCAGTTCAGCATGGCAGACCGGCACGGCAGACCACAGGAGACAGCACAGCAGGACAGCACGGCACACCACAGCGTGGTAGACTCGAACGGCAGACCAGAGTTTGGCAGCCCAGAGCACGTCAGAAAGCGACAACCATGCAAATCACAAAAGAGAAACAGGACACACGAGAAGGAGTTTAGAAGACTACACGAGCAACACAGACAACAAGAGCACGACACACGCACACAGAGCACGGCAGTGCAGCGCGTCAGGGCACCACGACAGCCCGTAGCGGCGCGACCACACAGCACAGCTGACCACGGTAGTACGTCTGACCAGCACGGCATGATGCAAGAGCACGGCAAACAAGCACGACAGACCAACAACGCTATCCTGTACCAGTGTTGCTGGTAGTACGTGTTACGTTTCGGATTGTCTTGAACGTTGTCGAGGCGTTCTCTATCAGGTTCCGCAGACACAACGGCGATTCCCGTTCTTCTCCGGTCAGGTTCTGGGTCAATGGCCGTTTCGCTTGAGACATCCTCGAAAACCGGCTGTGGAGAGGATTCCGAACCAGCATTATCTTAGAATCTCTCCCAGGTGGCTCCAAAACGACCCAACCATCGAGCTTCCGAATGCCCCCCAGAGGACCTCAGAAGCGCCCCGAGGGGCCTTCAAGAGGCACCCAGAGGCCCCCAGGAACGCCCGAAGTGGCCCTGGGACTGCCCAAGAGGGCCCCAAAGCGGCCCAAGACAGCCCAAGATGGCGACAAGATGGTCTGAGAGAGCACCCACAGAACTCTAAGACCAGTCCAGACAGCTGGAGACCCCAGTAGCCCCCAATAGGACCCCGACAGGCCCCCAAGACGCCCCCAGGATGCCCCAAGATAGGCCCACACTGCCCCACCAGCCCCCAGGGTAGCCCCAAAAGATCGCGAGGCCTCCACTTGTCTTCGACGTCCTTATCGTCGGTTTCCTCACCGTCCTTTTTCGTCGTCGTCGTCGTCCGTCTTCTTCGTCCTCTTCTTCTTATTATTATTCTTCTCCTCCTCCTCGTCCTCCTCCACTTGGTCCCTCTCGTACTCGTCCTCCTCCATCTCCTCTTCCTCGTCCTCGCGCTTGTTGTCCTACTCGTTGTCCTTCTGCTCCCCTCGCTGCACTCCCCGTCATCCACGCTTCCATCCTCGACATCCGCCGCCATGTTGTCGACATCATCTTTGTCTTCTTTTAACGCTACGAGCCCAGTGGTCAACGTCTCGGCGCTTCTCGTTCTTGTCCGATCAGGTCTTTCATGGATAAGGGGGGGAGACCAGCCTGGGTGGGATGTTTTTTTTCTATTTGGACAAGTAGCTATGGGGCATATTCACGTGTAAGCTGCATATATCCTGAGGGGCAGATAGTCCCGGTGGGGGGCGGTAGATCTTGATTTCTTTACCAGGAACAAAGAACCGATGTTGCCTAATGTATGAGGTGCATTCGATGTTGCGCAATGCTGTGCAACCTATGTGGTGCACTCCGTGTTGTACAATCTATGTAGCACAAGCTATGTGGTGCAATATATGTGGTGAATTGATTTCCACCCATGATTTGACACATCCCATGCTCTTGTAAACATCCCACCCGCCCATCCGCAACTTGGTTTGCAAAACCTCTTAAGACCGTGACGCTAGGTACCAAATAGCACTTGGCAACGACGCCGACGCCGACAGCGACGTCGTCCGTCGACGACGACGACGACGACGACGACGACTAGACGACACCGACGACGTCTCCGACGACTTCGACGACGACAACGACGACGACGCCGACGACGACACCAACAACGACGACAACGACGACGACGACGCCGACGCCGACGACGACGACGATGACGACGCCGACGACGACGAAGACGCCGACGACGACGACGACGTCGATGACGCCGACGACGACGACGACGACGACGACGACGACGGCGGCGACGACGACGACGCCGACGTCGACGACGACGAGGACGCCGACGCCGACGCCGACGACGACGACGACGTCGCCAACGAAGACGACGACGACGACGAGGGAGGACGACGACGGCGACAACGACGACAACGACGAGGGGGGAGGGAGGACGGCGACGACGCGAACGACGAAGAAGGATGGAGGACGGCGACGCCGACAACGACAACGACGAGGGAGGAGGGACGACGACGACGACGGCGACGAAATAGGAGGGACGACGACGAGACGCCGACGACGGACGACGACGACGAGCGAGGAGGAGGAAGGACGACCACGGCGACAACGACGACGGAAACGACCACGACGCCAAAGAGGACGACGGCGACGACGACGACGACGACGAGGAAGGGCAGAGGACGACGACGGCGACGACGACGACGACGAGGGAGGAGGGAGGACGGCGACGACGACGACGACGCAAGTGCGCGCGCGCACGCTTTTGTTGAACGTGTTGCGACACCTAGTGTTTTTGTATTTTATTTCGGACACGATTTTGAAATCCTTCCGAAACCGAAGTTTTTCAAGGATTTCGGCATGCGCGCGACGACGCGCGCGTCTGCACTTCGTCATTTTGTTGCAGAGGATTGTCGCGACGGCACGCGCGCAAGGGCGTTCGAAAGATTTCGACATGCGCGTGCGTGAAGCCCGTTTTTTTTCCTAATGTAAAAAAAGACCAGGGTTTTCCCTAGATTTCGCAAGAGCGCGCGCGTAAGCTTTTTTTGCATATCAGTGTTGCGATACCCAGTGTTTTTGTATGTTTTCTGGAAGCTCGATTTTGAAATCCTTCCGAAATCAGAGGTGTTTGAAGGATTTCGGCATGCGCGCGCGACGACGCGCGCGTGTGCACTTCGTCTTTTCTTGTGCAAGGGATTTTTGAAAACTTCTGATGTTTGAAAACTCCCTTTGCAGAGGATGGCGGGGGGGGCGATACCGGTTTGGCTGGGAGAGTACGATGGGGCAGAATCAAATGTAAACTGCAATACGAAAAGGTGACCCGTTAATTCCTGGATGGGGGGGGGGTAGAGTCTATTCTTTTTTTAGACAGGAGAATCTATGTGGTGCATCTGTAGTGAGATCTATGTGGCACAATTTCTGTGGCTCAATCGGGGCCCAGACGACGGGCGGCGACGAGGTGGAGACGGGGTGGCGACGGGGCGGCGACGACGACGACATAAACCGCCAGACGGACCCCCAGGCCTAGACAACGAGCGGCAGCGAGGCGGCGACGTGCCGGCGACGCAAACTACATAGCCGTCACACTGGCAGACAGGTCCAGACGACGGGCGGCGACGGGGCGGCGACGGCGACGACATAAACCGCCAGACCGACAAACAGTCCCAGTTCCTAAGACCAGAAGAACGAACCTCTAAGTGCCAACGATGTTTGGGGAACTTCCCGAGTTCCTCCTCCTTGTCGTCCTTCCCTCCTTCATTTCGAGTTCATGTGGTGGTTCACGGGGCCCAGTCGGGAGACGTGCCGAATTTAATTCGGTTTTTGTAATTAATGTGGGTCGCGTTGTTCGAGGGAAAAAACTTTTCGGAGCTTCGCGCGGATTTCTTCAACCCGCGCCTATGCCCCCCCTGGCGGCGCTTCCGGCGCCGCCCCTGGCGCGCGGAGCTCCGAAAGTTCATTCCTATACTGAAGAGCACGATACCCTAGAGAGGCCCAGACAGCAGGCCTCACTCATCACACTGCTGCGGCGCCTGCCAAGACGGCCAATGGAACAGTCACTGGCCGGCTGAATCGGTAGGACCATGCACATTCAATTTCTAGATTGCCAGCCGTGCGGAATATGCAAATGCACATCAAACCACATACAGATACGAACAGAAAGAGAGAGAGAGAGAAACATCAAGAGATAAAGAGATAGAGAGAGAGAGAGAGCGAGGACGAGAGAGACAGAGACAGAGACAGAGACATATAATTACTGACAGACAGGCAGAGACAGAGAGATAGAGGCGGCGATTGACAGACATGCAGAAAGACAAGCAGAGAGTGAGAGAGAGAGACAGTCACGCTGACAGACAGACAGAGAGAGGCAGAAGGAGAAAGAGAGAGACACAGAGTGAAGGCAGAGAGGGGGAGAGAAAGAGGGAGAGGGAGAGGGAGACATCGCCTGCCTCGCCCGAGGGCTCCTCCGCAGCCACGGCCGGCAGGTGGTACCGCGCCCCCGAGCTCATCCTCTTGCAGAAGGATTATACGGAGGCCTTACTTCTTGGCTGCGCATTGTCACGCCCGCAGTCCCTACTGCCATGCACAGGTCTGGAGAGCATCAGTGGCAGAACCGCCGATTATGTTCAAGGAACGCACGGGCGGCCTTACGCCCTGTGGAGGCGCTTGAGGGTCCCTGGAGCCCCGCTGATGGATCCGGCACGACCAGAAGTGGCATGATCGGTGTCAGAGGCCCTCGAAGCGAATCTCTCGCCGACGAGGGGCGAACATCGACCCACCTGCTGTCGGTCTTAGCACTGAAGGAGGGCCAGTTTGCCAGTTTGCCAGTCCCAGCGGCGCTGGGAATGCAGGCGGCTTTCACACCAACAGGGGGGCTCGAAGTCGGGCAGGAGTTGCTGCAGGCAGCCGGTGCCACGAATCAAGGCTGCCTCCCCATCGAGTGCGCCCCAGAGGCTTGGTCTTGCGTTCAAGGTTGAGGCGAGGCGTTTTCTGATGGCTTGGCTGCCCGCCCCACCATGCAGCTTATGATTCCGAAGGCCTCACGGCCAGTTCCGCCAGACCCTGAGAAGAGATCAGCTCAGGCGCAAGAGGCGCAAGAGGGACGAAGGCAAGACACATTGACAGTTTTCCCGCGAGGGCGGAAATCGAATGACCTTCGGTCCATCCTAACGCTGCGCTTGGGTCTTGCTTCAGAGGCCTCCGGGACATTTGGGGGGCTCCTGGGTGGCTTCTTTGGGGGATCCTGGGGGACTCTGTGGCCTACTCGGGTGCGTCTTGGGGCCTCCTGGCGGCATCTTGGGCTCGTCTTAGGCGCTTCGTGGAGTCTTGGGATCATCTTGGAAGGGCTGGCTTGCAGCTGCACGGCGGTAGCGCGCTTTCTGGGCCCCTCTTGGGACCATCTTGGGGGCCTGTCGGGCCCCTCTTGGGTCATTGGCCAGTCTTGGGGGCTTCTTTGGCCATCTTGGACGCTCGTTGGAACGACGCGGCGAGAATATCGAGATCTCACAAAACCCGAAGGCACTCAACCGATTTGGGTTTCCTGGGCCGGCCCCAAAGGTCTCCAAGATGTCCCGAGAGACCCCCCGAGGGCGTCGAAGGTTGCCGAGGTTGGCCACGGGATGGCTTGAGCTGGTCTATGAGGCTCAAGGGTGGCCAGAAGATCGCCCGCGTCACTCCGCGGAGGGGAGGTGGACGAACCCCCCCCCCAAGCACCACCCCTTGGGATCCCGCTTTCAATGACCCCCCCAGGGACACACCGGCCATCTCAGCGCTGGTGTGGCAGGGACCAAAGGGAAGGGGCTTCCCGTCGATCGATCGATCGACTCGATTGCGCCCTGGACGCTCGGGAGGTGTGGCCTTGTGTCCACGCGTGAGTCGAGGCATCTCCTGATGGCTGGATTCTGCACTTCCCTCAAGCACCCTAACCAAGCCATGTGTGTTTTGTTATCGGAATGCGTTGTGCACCCTCGCTCTGGCTCGGGGGACCAGGAGCAGAACGCAACCACTGCACGCCAGCCATTTGCCTCCGAGCGCCCAACAATGCGGCCCACTGCAAACCCCAGGCCCCCACGGCTGCATTTTCGCAGGACTTCCGCTCGAGCGTGGCCAGAGCGGCTCGTAAGGCCACCCGCGGGGGCGCAGGGGTAGCCGCGCTTCGCGCATCGCGGTCTGGGCCAGAGCGCCTGCCCTTCTTCAAGTGGGCGGCGCGAGGGCGCGGGGGGCGCGACGATGATCGCGCATCGCGGGGCGCGCGGGCGCGAAGCTGGGTGGCCCAGGCTCCCGGGGAGAAAGAGGGCCCCGGCGGCGCACACCCCAAGAGGCGATCGACGTCTGGTCCGTGGGCTGCATCTACGCGGAGCTGCTCGGCACGCTGGAGGATCCGCGGGGGGGGAGGGGCTGCGCCGTTCCCGCCCGCTCCGCGCGCCTCGCCCTCCTCCCCGCCCTCCTCCGCACCCTCCACCGCCTCCGCACGGGGACGTGCATGCGCAGCCGCTGCCGCGTGTTGCCGACGTGGACGCCCCCTGACTTGGCATCGCCAGGACGCATGTTTTTGTTCCTCCGTGCGAGGACCATCGACGAGCATCTTTGATCATCGAGCAACGAACGCGCACGGCATCGAACAGTGCACACGGAATTGACGTCCGAGCGATGGCAGGCTGAGCCCCTATTCGGTCACTTTAGATCCCTCCGCACTGTTACCCTCTCCTCGGCCCCCGCCCCTCCGCCCTCGCCCACTTCACCGCCCTCTCCTCCGCATCTCCCCCCCTCCGCGCCCTCACCCCTCTCCCCATCTGCGTTCCCGCCCCTCTGGCCTCCCTTTCCCCTCCCTCGTCTCCGCTACCACCTCGCCTCGCCGCCTCTCCCCCATTTGCTGACCTCGTCCTCCCCCCTTCCAGGATAGACATGGGCAGCGCAGGTGGAAGCTTGGGAGTTGCTAGCACAGCTGCTCACGGGTTGGCTCCATATCCCGGCACGCATTCAGGCTGGGTTTGCTTGTGGAAGGCCGTGTGCATGTTCTTGTCCTCGCAGCCCGAGCGGGGACACCATCACTTTCTCGGCTCGCCTATCGTTGGAATCGCCCGTCGCTAGGCGGTGGCGGTGGTGTTCCCCCCCCCGACCCCTCAGACGGAGCCGCCACCATCAAGATGTGAAGCCGGCGAGGCTGAGCGGTGGTGGTGGTGGTTCTTCCATTCGTGCCGCGCTGTCCACTTCTGGACATCTGTCAGAGCCCCGAATCATCAGGGGTAACTCGGGTCAGGGCTAACTCGGGTTCCCTTTTCCGGAATCCGAACCCGACTTACCCTGGACCCGAGTTACCCCGGATAACTCGGGCGCCCAGCGCCCCGAATCCTCAGGGGTAACTCGGGTCAGGGCTAACTCGGGTCCCCTTTTCGGGAATCCGAACCCGAGTTACCCCGGACCCGAGTTACCCCGGATAACTCGGGCGCCCAAATCTGCAGCGGGATGTCTGCAGCGGGAGGCCTCGTCAAAATGCAGGCTCGGCCTCGTCATTTTTTTGACGACCTCGTCGGGGATTTCCGAGTCCCTTGTACCCAGGTCTTACGTTTCCCTGAATCTGGGAGGTCAGAACGTGACAGGGAGGCGTGCGAGGCCCTGCGAGCGCACGCTCAAAAAACAGGTCGGGCGGAGGGGACCTGCCAGCCGGGTCTCCCACGCTCTGCATCCCTCTCCTTCCTTCGTGCCGCCTCTCCTGCCTTGCTCGGTTCTCCCACCTCTTGCCGCTGCCCTGCACTCCGCAATCTCCTGCCCTTGGGCCCTACGCTCCTCTTTCTCCTCCTCCTCCTCCTCCTCCTCCTCCTCCTCCTCCTCCTCCTCCTCTCCTCCCCTTTGGCCCGCGCTCCTGCCCTACAATTAGCGGAAGAAGAGAACGGGGTTGACTGCGCCGACATTGGCGCGTGAGCTACCCGCGGAAGGTCGCGCGTGAGCGCCCTCGTTTTCCATGTGACGTGCGGCGCTGGTGGCCCGCGTCAGTCGCCGCGTGAGGTCGCTACGTCATATCGCGTAAGGCCCGTGCTTTCGTCGCTCAGATGATGCTTGCTCTGAGGCGTTATTGCCTGCGCTTCATAAGTGACTGTCCTGGTGCGCCGGGGTCCCGCTGAGCTCGCGGTGGGGCTCCGCACGCCATGGCTGAAACCTTACGGGTCCTGCACGCCGCCGTTCTCGCCGTGGGGTTCCTCACTCCGTGGCCTTTGACCCCTCCATGGGGCCCAAAACTCGAAGAACCAACACTACATACACATCATTTCTCGGAGGTCAGCGCGGACCTCTTGGATTGGCGTTTGGCGCCTCTGGCGGTGCCTCCAGCGCTGCCCCCGGCGCGTTCCGCGCGCCAGGGAGAGGGTATCCAGCGCCGATCCCAGAAATTCCCGCTTACCTTCAAGAACTACATCGGCGCTACGAAAGTTTCAACCCGTTTGGTGTTTCCACCCAGACACGTCTTAGGCGGGAGCGCCATTACAAATTCGAGCTGGAGAAGTGTTGACCTCGATTTTCGAGGATGTCCTGGGCGGAGGCGCCGTTTCGAAATCGAACTCAGAGTATCGAATTTCAGTTTTCAGGAAGTCCTGGGCGGGAGCGCCATTTCGAAGTCGAACCCAGAAGACTCCGAATTTTGTTTCGGGGGAAATCCTGGGCGGGAGCGACATTTCGAAACCGAACCGGAAAGGTTTCGACTTCTGTTTGGGCGGAGACCTTGGGCGGGAGCGCTGATTAGAAATCGTACCCGAATATTTCGAAATCGTTTGGAATTGTTTTTGTTGGGGAAGTTTCAAGCGAAGCCGTCGTTTTGAAATGGCCACACCGTCTGGCATCTAAAATTTCAAATTTCTGATCAGAGATTTCGCAAGTTTGGTGTTTGCTTGACTTGACACCTCCTCAAACAAATAGTTTCGACTGATTCCAAAACTTTCGGTTTCGATTTCGAAATGGCGCTCCCACCCGGCACTGCCTTCAAACAACGATCGCGACTGGATTTCGAAACCATCGGGTTCGAATTCGAAGGGGCGATCCTACCCGAGACTGTAGCAAAACAGTGCTTGAACAGAACGTTGTACTGGGGCCCCGCGGCCTGGCTGGCCCCATTGACGTCCCCTTTATTGTCGCATGCGCAACGCCACTGACAGCATCGTACCGGGGCCCCGTCGCCTTTCGGAAGGCGCTACATTTTTAGCCAAATTTTCGCAGCGGCGAAGTCTTTCTCTACAAACGTATTGTGGCGTTTCAAACCCAACGGGGATTCCACACGCACACACGTTCACACATGGGGTGCTTGTGGAACTCCATCCTGCTCTACACAATTTGGGGTCTCAGAAGCACTGGGCTCATGACGCATGAGGATCTACAGTTCGTGGGATCCACACAGGGGGTTCTAGAAAGTTAGGGGCTTCACATTCAAATTGTTCCCAAGACACGGGATTTCACACGCACAGGCATGTGTGCCCACACGCATGGGGCGCCTGATACAGCCGGTTCTACACATTGTCTCTTCGGACGAAGTCGTTTGGCGAAACCACCAGATTCAGCACCGCGGGGCGCGTTAGCTATCAGTAGCATTGTGGGTACGTGTGTGGAGCTAGAATACGTGGGGTTCGACACACACACACACATACACACTTTTCAGTCGGCGGCGCAGAGGGTCCTCCAGCGCGAGCAGCAGATGGAGGAGCTACTTGCGATCGGGCACTGTCGAAGGCACAGCGTGCAAAGCGTCGCACACGGTAACATGCAAGCGGTGGGTGTGTCAGAGGAACTATAGGTTCAGACGAAACATGCAGTGGCCAGACAACTATGATACGACCTAACTCAAAATGAATTGAAGTGCAACAGCCAGGGGCTAGCTGCGGCCACTGAAGCACCAGAGCGGTTTTCGGTAGTGAAGCCCCAGGACATACGCTGCTAGGCAGATTTGTCGTGTCCGACCCAGTGGTCCTTCATACCAGCAACGCAACGCGACCGCGATGATGGGTGAAGTCGGGCCAACGGCGTGGCCACGCCATCCCCGTCGTACCCCAGAGCATCTGCGCCATCGGACTCGCCCACTGCTTGAAGCATCAGAAATGAGGCGCATGAGTAGCATCCACAACCTTTCAGCAAACGTAGCAGTAAACAAAGTCAATACACCGTGCCACCCAGCCAGGCAACCGCCGACACGATCAAAAAAGAAGTGAGAAAGGAGGAAGTGCAGAGGAAAATACAACGGTCGTGCCAACACGACAGGGCGGCCATGGGCGACGTTTCTCCAGACGGCGCACGCAATGCAACTACCCGCCAGGATAGTCAGGCAGCCAGGGCAGCCACCAATGAGTGGCGCACTTGCAGCAGCACCGCAACGCACGCCCAGCGACTACTCCCATGGATAGCCGGCCAGCTAAACGCCAGCAAGGTCTGCTGCGCGAGCAGCAACCGCAGCCCTCCAGCGAGAGAGCCCGCGAGAGGTGCAGCATACCCGCGCCCCACGCGCACCATCCCCATGCCGGGGCCTCCCGCAGAGCGGCCAGCCACAGGGCCCAACAAGAAGACGAGGGCCATAGCCTCCTGCGGTTGGGGAGCGAGGTGGCCCCGCTGCCGACGCCGATTCACGGCAGCCTTGGGGCTCGTCGGGGGGGTCATTAGATGGCGGCGGCGCCAGAGGCACAGCACGAGACGCACGACGGGGCCCCAGGTTCGACACGCACACACACACACACACACTCACACACACTCTTCACACACACACACATTCTTCACACACACACACACTCACACACACACGCACACCCACACATGGAGTCCAAATTGTCACACGATGAATTGTTTGGGGTCCACGCGCTGGGCATCATGACCTACTGCCCCGCCGTGCGGTGTCGACCCCCACGAGCTCCGATCAGCGCTGCATTGAGATCTGCTGAGGTGTTTGAGATGCGCATGGGCGGCGGAGGCGGCGAGCGAAGGACGTGCTCTAAGCGCCCGCGGGGTCGCGAAGATGATCGCGCTTCGCGCGCTTCGGTCTGGGCCAGAGCGGGAGCGGCGCGGATGGCCCACGCGAGTGGGCCCCCTGCTCGGCCGCGCCGCTCCTCGGGCCCCCGAGCCGCCGCGTGCCCGCGCTTCCGGGCGCAGGCTGCTCCACCGCGGCGTCACTGCCGCGCACGCGCGACGGCACGCCCTGCCAGTGATGCCTGGCCCTTCGTGGAAGAAGGCGCACCAGCACAAGCATAGCTTTCCGAGGTCCGCGCGGATCTCCGACAGTGGATGCCTCTGCCGACGTTTCTGCGCCCACCGCCCTGCCAGTGATGCTTGGCCTCCCTGGAAGAAGGCGCATCAGCATAAAACATAGCTCTCCGAGGTCCGCGCGGATCTCCGACAGCAGGTGCCTCTGCC